AGCTGGCCCCACTTCCTTCTCCTTTCCCCTGCAGTCCCCTGCTGACCAAGCCCCTCCCCCCAGCATCTGGCCAGGAGCATGTGGCCAGGGGTAATGCATGGGGGGTGAAGGGCAAGAAGGTTCATGTGTTCCTCCAAATGCTATGTGGGGGAGAGTCAAAGGGCAGCAGCTAGTGGGCAGAGGCCCTTTGTCAACCACCCCAGGCTCCTTATGATTGGGGGAATGTTAACAGGTCTCTTCACTTTGAATGGATCCTTGAAATATGTAACTACTTTTGGTAAACAATCTGTTCCACCTCGTATTTAGCTGTTATATTCAGAGTATGTTTATACTTGCACTTGATCAACAAAAGTTATGTCAACACAGTTGTGTTGCTAACAGCTGTGAAATGTAGATGTACTAAGGATGTTAAAGACTAGTGGACTAGTCAACTATCTGATAAACAAATGCTTATTGGATAGTCAGTCAACTAGTTGATTCCCTTCCCCCCCCTCCCCCCACCCAAGGTTAGCTGGGGACTTCCCAGCTAATCTCGGGCTCCATGCGGCATTTCTGCAGAACCCAGGATCATCTGGGGAGTCCCCAGTTGACCCCGGGCTCTGCGTGACATTTCAAATCAGTAGTGCAACAAGGAGCCTGGAGTCAGCAGGACTTCCTGCTGGTTCCCGGCTGCACAGGGTGTTCAACATTCCTCCTTTGAAATAAGGTTAGCTGGGGACTTCCCAGCTAATCTCGGGCTCCATGCGGCATTTCTGCAGAACCCAGGATCATCTGGGGAGTCCCCAGTTGACCCCGGGCTCTGCGTGACATTTCAAATCAGTAGTGCAACAAGGAGCCTGGAGTCAGCAGGACTTCCTGCTGGTTCCCGGCTGCACAGGGTGTTCAACATTCCTCCTTTGAAATGTACAAGAGCCCCAGCAAGAGCTCTTGTAAATTTCAAAGGAGGAATGCAAAAGTGCCTATTGACTAGTCAAGTAATCAATGGAAATTCCATCAACTACTTGACTAGTAAAGTAACTGCTATTTAACATCCTTAAGATGTACCCTAGTTTCCCAGTCCTGAAGAGGAGCTCTATACAAGTTTGTCTCTCTTACCAATTAGGGATGGAATAGTGTAATTGATTAACTGATAAGCAAAAATACAGTTATAGCTATGCATTCCAGCTATTATTTAGAACACATATCTTTTGCTGCAAAATAGAAATAGGCTTGCCAGGTGTCCGGTTTTGAACCGGAGAGTCCAGTATTTGAGCTTTCTGTTCAGGAAACAACTTGAGAAAATATAAATGTCCGGTATTTTCTAAATAAGATGTAATGTAGATTGTGATGTAATGTCAAGTATGTCCGGTATTTTTGTTGAAACCATCTGGCAACCCTAAATAGAAATTATTACTTTTTTTCTTCTTTATCCTTCCATAAGCCTTTCCCAGTTCAATATATATTTAATGGAGTTGAAAGCCAGATCCTTTATGGCTTTTAAATGTTGGATGGACACCTGCTATCCTTTGAAAGGTATAAAAAGAGACATTTGAGCAAAAAAATAGAAATATGTATTTAAACTCTATAGAACTGTATTGGAATGGGAGAATTTAAAGTTCTGAAACAAAGGAGATAAATGGTTGATATGCACATATTTTTTAGGGTTCTGCTATAATTTGATTTTCTAATTAATTCTGATCAATTAGAGATCACTGGTGTATGAACCCTTCTGGAAAACTCTATATAATTTAATAGGCACAAAACTATTGAATCCTATAGAAATTGTTCTGAAAACCTGTACAAATGTATGAACAGATGATATTTATCTAGCTTTTAGAATCATCCTATGGAATTTTATTTGCAGGACAGAATATTTGATCAAAATACAATAGGATGGTTTAAAACTACCAGAAAAGCTATGATTTTCCATTAGTTTCCATCAAACTTTCTTATAAGAGAAAGAATTAAGTTTTTGCACTTTTATAGTATAGGTCTGAAAGAGCATCTACTTTTGTGGCTTGTAGAATACTCAATGTAATTTGGCATCTAGCCCATCACTGAAAAATCAGATGTGGTCCCAAACACTTTCCACCAAACACACACCCAATACTCACAGGTTCTGGAGACTGTTGAGTAGGGTGAAATGTTGCTTGCAGATTTGGGACAAAATAAGGCTTCCTTTTCAGGACGAGCAGATTGGCAATGGAAAGGATGAGAAATTGCATTGCAGGAAAATGTTCCCTTTATTCTTTATGAAAAAGCAGATATTTCCCCAGGTTCCCCAAGGCTCCACAACTGCCATCTCTCAGGGCAGATGATGTTTTTCTTGAAGTCCCACTTCATGGAGTCAGGGGTTGAAAAACTTCAACTCGCTTTTATGGTTGCAAGGCCAAGCTTGACATTGGCAGCATGATCTCAGTGCAACCTGGCTCGGACTCCACAGCTAGAGAGGGTCATTTGTAAAACAATCTCATAGTAACTGAGGGCTTGTCTCCCGAGTTACGAAAGGCTGGCACCGGCAGTTGCCAATACTGTGCCCAGGGCTTGTCTGGGGAAGCTCCAGGCTTGGAAGTCTGGCCCAGCCAAGCAGGTGCTTAGTGATACCGAAATGCAGCATTTGATGTGCTTGCAAACCGAAAGAAGCGGGAAGAGAAGGAAGCTGAGCCGGTTGTTTCCCATCCCCCAGGCGCCAGGAGCTTCAGAGACTAACCCGGCCCCTTGAATCAGCGGAACCATTCTCAGCGCGCCACAGTTCCGGGGGGGAGGCAGAAAAACCAGAGTACCGCGTGCTGGGCGCGTTTCCATGGTAACCAGAGCAGCGTCCAGGGGAGGAACATGTCTGCAGGGGGTGAAGAGTCGGGGCCGCGCTTCACTTTTCGTTATCTCCCCCAGAAAAGCCTCCCCTCCCTCGAGAACAGAGACACGCAGGCCCGGCTCCGCAAATGGTGGGAGAGGGAAACGCTGCTAGTTGCCTCGGGCCTTCTACGCCTCTTGGTGGAGAGAGACCGCCCTGGGGATCGGCTGGGCGAGGAGCGATGGGGGAGGGGCGCCAGGGGATCGGCTGGGCGAGGAGCGGGGGGGGAGGGGCGCCAGGGGATCGGCTGGGCGAGGAGCGGGGGGGGAGGGGCGCCAGGGGATCGGCTGGGCGAGGAGCGGGGGGGGAGGGGCGCCAGGGGATCGGCTGGGCGAGGAGCGGGGGGGGAGGGGCGCCAGGGGATCGGCTGGGCGAGGAGCGGGGGGGGAGGGGCGCCAGGGGATCGGCTGGGCGAGGAGCGGGGGGGGAGGGGCGCCAGGGGATCGGCTGGGCGAGGAGCGGGGGGGGAGGGGCGCCAGGGGATCGGCTGGGCGAGGAGCGGGGGGGGAGGGGCGCCAGGGGATCGGCTGGGCGAGGAGCGGGGGGGGAGGGGCGCCAGGGGATCGGCTGGGCGAGGAGCGGGGGGGGAGGGGCGCCAGGGGATCGGCTGGGCGAGGAGCGGGGGGGGAGGGGCGCCAGGGGATCGGCTGGGCGAGGAGCGGGGGGGGAGGGGCGCCAGGGGATCGGCTGGGCGAGGAGCGATGGGGGAGGGGCGCCAGGGGATCGGCTGGGCGAGGAGCGATGGGGGAGGGGCGCCAGGGGATCGGCTGGGCGAGGAGCGCTGGGGGAGGGGCGCCAGGGGATCGGCTGGGCGAGGAGCGCTGGGGGAGGGGCGCCAGGGGATCGGCTGGGCGAGGAGCGCTGGGGGAGGGGCGCCAGGGGATCGGCTGGGCGAGGAGCGCTGGGGGAGGGGCGCCAGGGGATCGGCTGGGCGAGGAGCGCTGGGGGAGGGGCGCCAGGGGATCGGCTGGGCGAGGAGCGCTGGGGGAGGGGCGCCAGGGGATCGGCTGGGCGAGGAGCGCTGGGGGAGGGGCGCCAGGGGATCGGCTGGGCGAGGAGCGCTGGGGGAGGGGCGCCAGGGGATCGGCTGGGCGAGGAGCGCTGGGGGAGGGGCGCCAGGGGATCGGCTGGGCGAGGAGCGCTGGGGGAGGGGCGCCAGGGGATCGGCTGGGCGAGGAGCGCTGGGGGAGGGGCGCCAGGGGATCGGCTGGGCGAGGAGCGCTGGGGGAGGGGCGCCAGGGGATCGGCTGGGCGAGGAGCGCTGGGGGAGGGGCGCCAGGGGATCGGCTGGGCGAGGAGCGCTGGGGGAGGGGCGCCAGGGGATCGGCTGGGCGAGGAGCGCTGGGGGAGGGGCGCCAGGGGATCGGCTGGGCGAGGAGCGCTGGGGGAGGGGCGCCAGGGGATCGGCTGGGCGAGGAGCGCTGGGGGAGGGGCGCCAGGGGATCGGCTGGGCGAGGAGCGCTGGGGGAGGGGCGCCAGGGGATCGGCTGGGCGAGGAGCGCTGGGGGAGGGGCGCCAGGGGATCGGCTGGGCGAGGAGCGCTGGGGGAGGGGCGCCAGGGGATCGGCTGGGCGAGGAGCGGTGGGGGAGGGGCGCCAGGGGGATCCTTTGGGCGCCGGGGAGGATAGCAGGGGCTGCGATCTGCTGGGAAGGAGGATACAGAGTTACTGTTGTTACCCTTTCTTGAGATTAAGGTCAGTCTTTTGCAGTAGAACTGTGGGGTGGGTCCAGAGTAGGGATGTTAAATGTTGGGTAATTGAATAGTTGAGTAACCAGATGAATTCTTATCCATTACTCTACTATTCAGTAGTCCTTGGGGGCGGAGCAGACAGCACAGGCATTTTGGCCCTATTCCCTCGGAACTCCCTGCCACCCTGCGCTCAGACCCACTTGCGGAAGCTTCATGACAGCCTCCTCTGCACTCTTCCTCCCCCCTTCCCATGCTGCCTCTGAGAGAGGCAGCAGTATGGAGGGGGGGGCAGCAGGGGCGGATATATGGCAGGGCAAGTGGGGCGGCCGCCCCAGACCCCACGCTTCAAGAAGCCCTGCGCATGTGCATGGCGCCACCGCACATGTGCCGTGTCAAAGGGGGGCCCCACGAAATTGTGCTGCCCTGAGCCCCGCAAAATCGTCATCTGCCCCTGGGCGGCAGCACCATGGAGCTGGTGATTGGGGGGGGACACCAGCAAGCCAGCTCCCCCCAGCATCTGCTCCTGCTCCCCCCCCTTGCTGCCTCTGATAGAAAGGCAGTCGGGGGTGGGGAAATGCATGTAATCAACAAGATAGTCGACTACATGTTGACATCCCTAGTCCAGAGCTTGACTTGATGCTGAAGAGCTATTTGGAGGACAGTTCCTGAAGTAAAGTTAATTGCTGTTATTTTAAATCAATATAGATTTCGGCCTTGCAAACTTCTTCCTGCCCTAGATGAGTAGGGTTTTTTTTTTTTAATCTCTTGGACAGATGAATAAAATATAATGAAAAAATAATTATCAACAGATGTCATGAAAGGGTAAGCACATGATTATTGAGCCTGGGCTAATATCTAGACAGCTCTGCATGGCTGATATATTCTCTAGGGATGTGTCCAGTTTGTGCTTTTAAAAATATCATTACTTACCGTGTGCTGTATTTCAGGTCCATGTATGGCAGAATCACCGTGCAAGTTTTCAGTTTTGACCAACTTTTTAAGGTCTATCAAAAGGATGAATTTGTTAAGGTAGTTATAAATCTATCAATTCATGGTTCCTTCTTAAAGGAACTGTAACTTTTTTGTGCTGGAATAACACTTAAACTTTCCCATAATATTTTGTATGCTGTGCATAGATGGGTTGGGTATGAGGTGCTAATAATTTTGGTAAGCTGTGTAATATGATGACAAGCATTTTGCAGGCAAAATGTTAACATTTCTCTGTTGGTCTGGTGAGGCAACATAAGAACCAATAACTGGGACTCTGGTCAGTTCTGGACTGGTCCTGGCTGCCTTTATATTTTTGATATTTGGGAGAAAGTCACCTAAGTCTAGATTTTTAAAAATGCACATGCACATGCAGTTAATCAAATCAGTTGCTCAGTCACAGCAATTGTATGTACAAACTAAATGTGCATATGCATTCAGAAATCTGAAAAAGTGGGGCCATGTTTTCAGAGATGCTGATCAACTGCAGATCTTGTTGACTTCAATTGGTCTTAGATGTTTAGCATTTCTAAATATTAAGCCCTTTGTCTTTAACCTCTGTTATCCTCAATTTCCTTCAGTGTAAAATAGAATATATTTCCTTCTGCAAAGTGATTTGATTTAATAAAGAGAATGCACCTGTTTAGTGTAAAAGCAGGTTGTTGTTTTTGTATTAGTTGAATAGACCTTTGACAATGTCAACTGATTTTCTTGGGGATGAATTCACAATCAGGTGGTAACATGCAATCCCCCTAACCCCCGTCTATTCAGGAATGTAGCTAAGCATCTGAGCTCCTTCTAGGATAATTCTACATCTTAAATATCTGAAGACTTATTAAAAACACTGCCTCCTTACTAGAGATGTTAAAATTAGATTAACCAACTAATCAAATAGTCAATGGAATTTCCATTGACTATTTGATTAGTCGATAAGGGTGCTTCCGCTTTGAAATGTAGCAAGAGCCTGCCTGGCTGTTGCTACATTTCGAAGGCAGAAGTGCCCCCGCTGATCCTGGGTTCCATGCAGTGCTTCTGCTTTAAAATGTACAAGAGCCTCAACCGGGGACTCTTGTACATTTCAAAGGTGGAACACCACTACTGCACCTCCGCCCCCTTCCACAAAGCTGGAGCTGGGGGAACCAGCTTTTAAACTGGCTCCCCCCAGGACCCACTCCTCTCCTCCCCCTTGCTGCCTCTTTTTGATAGAGGCAGCAAGGGGTGGGGGGGGGCAACTAGTTGACTAGTGTGTGGACTATCCAATAAACATTTGCTTACCGAATAGTCAATTAGTTGTTTTCATCCCTATTCTTTACCACTTTTTAATGATAAAACATAAATTAGCTAAACTGTAGTGATTACATATAATAATTTATGGTTTATATTACTAACTTGGGCCTGCAGAAAACATGAAAACTATGTATGGATTTTGATTATGCTGAAGAAAAAGGAGTTCTGAGAATTCCCTTTTCACCAAAACTTTGTAATGCAGTTAAAATGTATCACACCAAGCTGCTTTCATTTCTGCAGGCATTCTTTGAGACAACTGGTGTTATGCAGATGGAAACCCACAAATTTACATACATAAATACATTTATGGATATATTTTTAAAAACTGGTTAGTCATAATTGCGAAGTCATAAACTTGGAGATGTGATTTTTTTACATGCAAACTCAGAGCCACTTATTTAATGGGACAATAAAATTTGTAAAAAAAAATGTAATGTATTGCTTTGCTAATATTATGATCTCATTTTGTTAACTTTCATTTTTTATTTGAAATTTTAGGCATTTTTTAGTGATCCAAATGTTAGCACCAATTTGAAATTGCTTACAGCTTCTGGACAGTGGACTACATTAGGTAAATAAATTTAGAGTAATTCAGTCTTTAAATCTTCCTGTGTGATAACTATATTTTCTTCAGTTAGGGTACGTCTACACTGGCCCCTTTTCCGGAAGGGGCATGTAAATTTCACGAGTTGTCGTAGGGAAATCCGCGGGGGATTTAAATATCCCCCGCGGCATTTAAATAAAAATGTCCGCCGCTTTTTTCCGGCTTTTAAAAAAGCCGGAAAAGAGCGTCTAGACTGGCCCCGATCCTCCGGAAAAAGCGCCCTTTTCCGGAGGCTCTTATTCAAAAAAAATGCCCGCCGCTTTTTTCCGGCTTTTAAAAAAGCCGGAAAAGAGCGTCTAGACTGGCCCCGATCCTCCGGAAAAAGTGCCAGTCTAGACGCTCTTTTCCGGCTTTTTTAAAAGCCGGAAAAAAGCGGCGGACATTTTTATTTAAATGCCGCGGGGGG